TACCGCCCCCGCCGTTGGGGTACCAAGGATCGTTTTTGCTGGGACCGCAGCCGCCTCTGGGATACCACAGATCGCTTTTGCTGCAAGCCCCGCCGACCGATCCAAAGAGCAAGGCACCGATCCGCCCAACACAACGGGTACTCGGTGGTTCGTATGGCCCTCCAGACCAAGGGTCAACGCAACATGGACGCGGCTCCAAGAGGCGCTCCCGCTCTGTCTCTATCTGAGACCTACCGTGCGACCAACCGCAGGGTGCAAAAAGATGCGTCTTAAGAGGAAGTGGAAGCGATCTTCTGTGAGAGTAGGTTGCTTTGAGTGTGGTGAGTGTCCGGGTGTGCTCGGTAGAAAGGGTGAAGTTCTGAGGTTACAGCGCTATAGGGTTTTACGGGTTTTTGGGAAGGGTTTTGCAAGTGAGTGTGAGGCTCAGAACCCCACGGAAGCCTGGAGGCCCAGTGACGTGCTGCAAGTGTTTTGCGAGGGTTTTGTGAGAAAGGCTCAGGCTCTACTTAAAGCCTTGGGGCCCTCTGTGCGAGTGTGTTTGCCAGGGTACGCGCAAGAAGCCCCGAGAGCCCAAGCCCCCAAAACGTCCGAAGTCACCGAGGCACCGAGATTCAGCAAAGCACCGAAAGTCCCCGAAGCACCGAAAGCCAGCAAAGCACCGAAAGCCAGCAAAGCACCGAGAGCCCCCGAAGCACCGAGAGCCAGCAAAGCACCGAGAGCCTCTGAAGCCGTGGAGTGTTTTGTGCTGGTTGGTGTGCGGCGTCTGCGGTCCTTGTGCTGTTGTGGCTTGGAGCGTGTGCGTGGCTTGTGGTTGTGTTGTGCTTGTGGCTGGGATGACCTAAGGTCGGAGCCTTTGAAGGTGAAAGGTGGCTGTGATGAGAAAGTGTCTGAGCCGCCACACCGTTTGTGCATGATGCGTGGACTTCCGGTGGAAGTGACGATTTCCGATGAAGAGTTGATTCCGGATGGTGATCCACCAAGGCAGGCGGAACCCGCCCAAGCCTCAGCTCCAGCACCGGTTGTTGAAGCCGAGCCTGCTGCTGAAGATGCTGGGGATATTTCTGAAGAAGGGGAACTTCATGTTCCACTGGAGGATAAAGAGTATCAGGAGCACGTTGCTCGGGGCCATCAGCCCTATCTGCCGTCGTGTTCTTTGTGTGTGTCCAGTCGAGGAGTGATTCCAGCGCGAAGGCGCAAAGATCCTTCAATTCCGCAAGCAAGCTTCTTAAGCGACTTCTTGTTCTTTACGAAAGACCTGAGAGTGTGCATTGTGGTGCACGAGCTTAGCGGATATTGTTTCGCTGTGCCCTACCCCACAGGAGGTGATCCAGGGCATGTTGCACGGTGTATAAACGCCGAGCTGGCCGCCGCAGGTATTCAAGGTCAGCATGTTGTGCTGAGGATGGATAATGAAGCGTCTCTGATCTCGCTTTGGAACAAGGTGGGAAAAGACCGCTCATACCCAGGCCTCTCGTTGCACATAGACGCGGTGCCGAAAGGACGGCCGCAGTCGAAAGGGCTTGTGGAGGTAGGTGTGCGACACTTGAAGGAAGCCTTCTGGGTGAATTGGTTGACGCTAGAAACTACGCTGGAGAAGAAGCTCCGGCTGGGTGGTTTGTTGTACAAGGAAGCTTTGAGATATGTTGCTAGGACAAGGAACCTGCATGCGACCTCGAAGTCGCAAACCACGCCAATTGAAAGGCTGAGACGCCAACATCTTCCAGTAACGAAGACGTTTCCTTTTGGGTGCAAGGGTTTTGCCAAACCTGCGAAGCAGAAGCCTGAGAATCGAGGCCGCCGCCTCATCCCGTGTATGTACCTAGGGCCTGCTAAACCCAATGGTGGAGGAGTGCGTGTGCTCCCTCTTGATCGGCCTGATGAGGTCGAGGTGATGTCGGCCTTTCGGCCGGACCAGCCTTATCTGTATCCTGAGGAGTTGGTGGTACAAGCCGCTGATTCGGGTGCCCCTTCTAGGCAAGACAACGTTTTAGAGCGTCCTGTTTCCTTAGACCTGAAGCCCCCCGAAGCCTTTCAGCCTGGAGAGCCTAAGGGTAATCTAGTTGAGAGGGGGAGTGCGGAGCCGGAGGCTCCAGCTGAGCTCTTGGAGGATGAGCTTATGGACTATGATCCTTCTCCAGTTGAGGAGGAAGAGGTACTCCCTGAAGGTCCCCCTGCAGGAGAGAACGAGGCCCCACCTTTGTACGATGTGGACATGCAGCCGGCCGACGATGATGATCCCATGGAGGTGGCGATCAGCTGGCTGGAGGACCATGCTTTGTACTCCATGTGTTCTAGACCTGAGGTTGTGTTCGCGGCAAAGGACGCTAAAGGGTCTAGGGCGGCCAAGTTGGAGTTTACTTTGAAGTTTGGAGGGTCCAAGGTGAAGGTTGAGGTTCCTTCTGGGGCTGCTGATGAGTATACTGGGGAGGTTCTTGAGGAGAAGAAACTTGGGGAAGGGATGCGTCTTGAAATGGAGGAACTGGACCACTTTGGTGTGTGCCAGGTTGTGTCTGAGAAGGAGGCGTTTCGCCTTGTGCGGGAAGCTAAGAGGAGAGTGCTTTCCACCAGGTGGGTGTTGCACTACAAGGACGGGCACAAGCGTGTGCGCTGCCGTTTGGTTGTGCGTGACTTTAAAGGGCCCACCTCTGCTTTAGCTGATGGCATCTATTCTCCTACGACTACCTTAGAGTCTGTGAGGTGTCTGTTGGGGATGTATGCGCATTTCGGAGGGAAGGTGATTTCGGGAGATATTTCTGTGGCCTTCATGCAGGCTAAGCTGTTTTCTACTGAGGTGGTGAAGCTGCCGGAGAACTGTAGGACAGTGTCAGGTGAACGTGTGCATTGTCTGCTGAAGCGTGCCATGAATGGTTTGCGGATTGGGCCTTTGGCTTGGTTTCGTGAGCTAGGAGAAACACTGAGAAAACTTGGTTTCTTTGTTACTGCTGACAGCACTGTGTATCGCAAGGTGATCAAGGAGAAAGGCAAGGATGCCATTGTGTTGGTGTTGGCCTATGTAGATGACATCTTGGTTTTCAGCACGGTTGCGAGTGTAGCTGAGAAAGTGTTTGAGGAACTGAGTAAAGTGTTCAAGATGAAGCGCACGGGAACGCTTCAACCGGGAGAGAAATCGGTGATCTCCTTCCTTGGGAGAAACATTTATCAGAGGAAGACCGGAGACTTGTACTTCGGACTCAAACCCGGGATGCTCCATAGCTGTGCGGAAGAGTATCAAATCACGAAGGGAGCGAAACTCCCCAAGCTTGAGCGTTTGTGGACCAGTCTGGAATCCACCCCGATCACGCATGAGGCCTATCAGCGCTACCGGCGCGTGTTGGGCAAACTGTCGTGGCTAGCTTTGACAAGAGCTGATTTGCAGTTTGTTGTAGGTTTTCTGGCCCGGAGCCAGAGCAACCCAGACTCCAGGAGTGAAGCGTGTATTCGAGCTGTGCTGCGTTGGATTCTCACGCTTGGGAATCGGGTTCAGCGGATCCCGGCACAGTGGGTGAACTATCGCCCTTCGGAAAGTACGCGCGTGATCGATTGTTTCTGTGATGCTAGCTGGAATTTGCCCTCTGTGAGTGGGGCGATTATCTGCTGGCAGTGCAACCTGCTGAAGAGTTTTAGCCGTAAACAGACGGTTGTGGCCCTGAGCAGCGCCGAGGCTGAATTGAGTGCTTTGTGAAAGAGGCTTTGTTTGCAGGTTTGCTTCAACAGTCGTTTTTGGAGGGATTGCCTGAGGATGATACTGGAAGCTTTTGGATCCGGATTTGTACCGATTCGGAGTCGGCAAAGGCGATTGCTTCCATGGAGGGACTCTTGAGAAGGGTTCGTCACCTGGAGTTGCGGTGTGCTTTCCTGCAGCAGATGGTTCAGTCGGGGAGAGTAATCCTCGAGTTTGTGGCCGGGGCATATAATGCCTCCGACGGCCTGACCAAGAGTATGGTTTTTCAGGAGCAGCTGGACAACCTCTACGAGGTAACCGGTTTGGTTTCTTTTGAAGACGAGTTGGGTGAGTTTGAGCTGGAACGCCTGACTGCAGAAGAGCCGGTAAACCGTTCTTTTGTTCCTGAGGAGTACGTTTCACTGTGTGAAGCTGTGGCGAAGAACCAGGTCACCTTTGTGGTCGTTGAACTGTTCTGCCAGGAAGAAAGTGCCTTACAGAAGGCATGTGAGAAGCTTGAGATTGCCTATGTGGGCTTCACTGAAAAGCTTGACTTTTGTTCTGAGCAGACGCAGTGTTTTCTGAAGGAGTTGTTTTCTGTGTTGAGTTGTGGCTTGAAGACGAAGATCTACTGCCATATCTCCACTCCCTGTACCACTGGGTGTCGTTTGCGTTACCGCGGGTGGCGCAAGTACAGTCAAGAGAAGTGGGAAGAGAAGAAGAAGTTGCATCAGCGTGCTTGGGAACTTCTTGAAGGTTTGTTGAAACCGGTTGCTCGGAGTGAACGCTTGTTGTTGACTCAAGAGTGGCCTCTGCAGAACGACCTCTGGAAGGACCCGCGGTATCTTCAGGTTGCTTCAGAATTGGGGCTTTCTGAGGGTATTGTGGTAGACCGCTGTGCGTACGACTGTGTGTTTAAACGGTGGTACTTTGCCACGAACAGTAAACGCTGGGTCAAAGTGTTTCCTAAAAGGGAATGTGACCAAGTGCATGAACATGTACAGGTGGAATTAAAAGATTCAGGGTTCTATCCTGAAAAGCTAGGTCTAGAGCTTGTAAAGTGTGCTCAAAAGACACTAGGTGCCGCATCAGTCCAAGAGGGGGTGTGAAAATCCCATTTTTTTTGGCTCAAGTTTTCGGCTCAGACTTTGCAGTGCCGACGTGGCCTTTTAGCCTGGAGTCCCTACTTTTGCTAAAGGCCCTGACTGGAACCCAAACCGCAACCTTAAAGGTCGTAGGCTGGCTGTCCAGCAAGGGTTGGGGCGGGGTAGCGCCATACTGCACGTGCTTTCAAGCCGAACACTTGCTCAGCCGTTGTCACAGGTTGAGCTTGCTCGCCATGACTTGGGGAAAAAACGGTGCCAAGGGTGCAGCAACGCCCTACATCGTCTGTCCTCACTGCTCTAGGGCGGGTAAGCAGAGCTGGATTTTCGTAGACAGAGTCCAGCACCACCCCTTTTGCAACCTGTGTGGCAACGCCTGGAAGACAAAGGGTGCTCCGGTCACTCAAAGACTGCGCCCGCGGGGTCCCAAGAAGAACAGGGACAGAAGCGCAACCACTGAGAGTGCCACCCAAAGCCCCCAACGGCCTAGGAATCAAGAGGGCAACCTCTCCAAAGCCGTCACGACACTTTGGCAGAAGTTTCCCCCAGAGGTCCAGAAGGAACTGAGCGAGGCAGGTTTCCAAGCAGGCCGGCAGCCGAGTCCGCCTCCAGGCCTCCAGTCTGGAAAAGGCAACGGGGCAAAGGGTGGGCTTGACGAGCAGGCCGAAGCCTCTAAGAACCTGTGGGACTCTGCGTCTGATGATCAGAAGAAGCTGATGCGCCAAGCTGGCATCCCTGAGCCGGTTGCGTCGGAGCCAACAGACCTTGCGGCCCTTTGCAAGAAGCACTTGGAGTCAATGCCGCCTTCGATCCAGCAAGCCCTTGCAGCACTGGATCCTCCGGCCCCCACGCAGACTCAGCAGATTGAGATTGCAACTCGTCGCTTTAAGCAGAGCACTACGGACTTGCGACTGATGATCCAGCAAACTGCTGCCTTACAGATTCGCATAGACCGCGCCAAAGCAACCTACCAGGAGCTGCTTGAGAAGATGAAGGTTTGCCAATCTGAATTGCAGAGCAAACAAGCTGAAGTCACGGCTATGCAGTCGGAGTTGGAAGCCACACTCCGTGCTGATGCTTCGGGTCTGGAGGACCCCGCGCGCAAGGATGATCCCTTGGAAGGGCTTCTGGATACGCTTGCCAAAGTTGGAATTGTCCTGACCCAGGAGCAGAAGGATCTTTACGAGGAGGCCCAGCGCGGCAAGCATAATGATGGGCAGCAGAATATGGAAGTTGAAGCCACAAACCAGCCTGGTTTGACGGCTCCGACCCGTGCCCCGCTGAGCCAAACTCTGCCAGAACACAAGGGCACTGAGCCGCATGAGCAAGCCAAGCCCAGGTCCAGGAGCCGAGGCCGTAGCACTCAGCAAGGTTAGGGAGTGGGGCTGGGGGTCCAGGTTAGGTCTGTTTTCGAGGAAGGTCCTTTGAGTGGGGAGAGTGGGCAACCTGCTTGTGCATTTCAGCCTGCCCTTCAGCTTGATCAAGACGTTTCCTGTGCCCCTGTGTCCAGCTCTCAGCCATGCGGGTTTTCCGGCGAATCGGTTAAGCGACCCATATCTTTGTATAGTGATTTGTTTTCATTGGGGGAGTGCCAACCTCAGCAGCCCAAGTCCTTAGAGAAGGTTTCAGGGTATGTTGAGGCTTACTCACAATTTTGCAACAACGACCTTGTATGGGGTCAGTTTTGGTTACCAGGTTTTTCTGGTCAGGAAGAATGGGATTCTTGTGGGGATCTGAGTGCCTGGCAGACTGTTACCAAAGGATTGCGCCACAGCACCCCGCTGCAGTCCCAGGACACCCAACTCATCACAGGGCCCCAGTTCTGGCCCCCATCTTTCTCGACAACTGAGTTTGATGAGGTCCCTGTGACCGGTGCTTCTCCAATCTCTGCTTTTGTGGCCACAACCTCAGCAACGGCATCTCAAGTTGAGGAGTTTCCTCGCTTACAGGCGTCGGGGAGCCATGCCGAGGTAGGGGTCACACGCAAACGTAATAAAACCAGACGTAGAACGAAAAAGCCCAAACACATTAGGGTACCCTTCTCTCAGCTTGCCCCTTGTGAAATGCCACCTGAGGTGCCTCCTTTGGCAAGCCCACATAGCCAGTGGCGCACACTCGAAGGCCAGGTGTGGGAGGCTGTCAAGAACCCAGATCTGTTGGGAGCAACTTCAGAGGTGGTTGGCCACCTTCTTGATCAGGTTGAGCAGGGCAGCTTAGGTTGGTGGCTGTGCCAGGAGATCTTGGCTCTCCAACGTTCTTTTGACTTGACTTTGCTCTTGCTTGTTGCTCGGGGCTTTGAAGTTTTGCGCAAATCGCAGCCACAGGGGCACAGGCAAATGCGAGTCACATCTTGCAACATCACTTCTTGGAGGCCAGAAGTCAAGCAATGGTTTTCAGCTCAAGGGGATGTTATCTTGATTCAGGAGCACCACCTTTTGGAGTCCCAAATTGTTGCTGAAATTTCGTCTATGGCTGCCATGGGCTTTGACTCTTTCCTTGTGCCCGCAGCCCCTGGGGAGGGCCGACGGAATAGCTCTAGAGGCGGAGTAGGGGTTTTAGTTAGAGCCCACCTGGGAGCCCGTTTGCGAGGCCAGTATACCAACCAAGGTTGCGGTTACGTGGCGGTGACGCTACGCACACAAGGGGCTGACTTGACAGTAGTTAGCCTGTACCTCCAGTCTTCTTCCGGCTTCGGGTCCCCGGTCAACTCTGACATCCTTGCATCTCTGCGCGCAATTCGTCAATCTGTGAGGGGCCCAATCCTGATAGGTGGAGACTGGAACTCGCCTTTGAAGGATTTGTTGGACACTGCCATTTTTCAAAGTTTGTCCCTGGAACCAATTGGGCCCAACAAAGCCACCTGTGGTGACAATGAGCTTGATTTTCTGGCTGTATCACACTGCCTGGAAGGTTTGCTCCGGGTTGATGCCTCCTGGGATGTTCCTTTCAAGCCACATGCAGCAATCCAAGTTGCCCTCAATGTGGGCGCTTTCCAGCTCACCACTCCACAGCTTCCCTCCTTTGTGCTTTCCTTCAGGGAAGAACCGCTTGATTACATACAGGTTGAGGAGACCCTCGCCTCTTTGCCGGATACCACCTTTTCGGCTGACCCTCTGAGCAATCGACTGGCTTCCATTTCCAGTTCGGTTGAGCACAGTCTTTTGCAATCGTCCCAGGGTATTGGTCGCCAACTCCAAGTTGCATTCCTCCCAGCTGTTCCTCGCATGTCCCAGTTCGCATGGGAAGGTTCTTGCCAGGCTTTTTGGCACCGGGTACAATTTCTGTGCCAGGGAGACCACCCCAAACGTCGAGAGCAATGCCAGGAGTATTTGCCGCAGATCCTGGACCACTGGCAGGGCAACTCGGAGGAAGCTGTTTCTTTACTTTCTACGCTCCAGGCCTGTCTCTCGGAGCAGGCTGCTGTTCCCGAGCCCGTCCAGCAAACATTGCAGGAACAATTTCTGCTGGCCTCTAAAGTTCACCAGGATGCCCAGACCAAATCGTACAGGTCGTGGTTGCAGGGAGCCCAAGAAAAAGGGATGGCCCCCCTTTTCAAGACGATCAAAAAAGGTGAAATCACCACTGCACGTCCCTTTCGGGATCTGTCCGCAGAGGTTCGCGCCCTGGCCAGAACCAAACTATGGCTCCGCACTTGGAAAGGCGTACTTAGAGTTGAGGACCTTCCTCCTCTTCCACACGCAGAGCAACAGGCTCGCGGACAGCTACGGGAACTTGCTGCTCAGCAGGTCGCTACCCTGAGCCCCATTTCCCCGGAACAGCTGCAACAAAGGTTTTCCAAAGGCAGGGTCACTGCCCCAGGACCGGACGGCTGGAGCAAGTCCCTTCTCAAGAAATTGACTTGGCCAATGCTTCAGGACATCGCTGAATTTTATCAGGAGCTCGAAAGAGGCCTCCGAGTCCCGCAGCAGTTTCTCCTGACACAAGTTTGTATGCTGCCCAAATCGGCTACTGCTGAGAGACCTATCTCTTTAACTCACGTTTTGTGGAGGGACTACTGCAGAGCCAGGTGGTCCCTGATCCAAGAGTGGACGGTCTCCTACCAGGCCCTGGCTCCTTGGGATGCCGCAGTGCCAGGTCGAACATCTTTAGACATCGGCATCCGCCGGTTGCTGTGGGCCGAAGCCTCCCGAACTCAGTCCAAACACTTTGTAGGACTCTTTCTTGATATCAAAGGTTTCTATGATTGTGTGGTTTGGGCCTCGGTAGTCGACACTGGACTCCTGTTACAGTTCCCACCTTTGCTTTTGGAGCTTTCCCTTCAAATTTATGGTGGGACACGATTTGTCTCAGCCGAAAATTCGGTTTCGCCGGGAATCATTCCCACAGTTGGGCTGCTTCAGGGTTGCCCTGTTGCGCCGGTGGTTTCGAAACTGGCTTTGTTTGTCCCAATCAGGGACCTTCAGGCCACTGGCCTCACTCACAACATCGACCAGTGGCTGGATGACATTTCGGCTGACGTGGTAGGGTCCACTGCTTCTAACACGGCTCACAAAGCCCTCAAGACATTTCGTATACTGCGAGACTCTCTTGCGGAACGAAATCTTCAGGTTTCCTTGGAAAAAACCAAGTTTCTTTGCTCAGACTCTGCCACCTCTCAAGTTCTTGCGCGTCTGCGTTCGGACCAAGATCCTGGCATTACTCTGTTAGCCAAAGACTTAGGAGTTGACAGCAATGCTGGCAGACGCCGCAGGCTTGCCACCTCTCTGGGCAGGCACAAGAAGGCGCAAGGCCGCCACAAGCGCCTTCGTGCTTTAGGTGTTGATTCGCAATGTTCACGCACGAGGGTTGTGCGCGGATCCATCATGACGTGTGCCACCTATGGCCATCAGGCACAGGGTGTTAGTCCCAAACGGTTGAAATGGCACCGCGCTGTGCTGGCTGGTAGCTTAGGACGCCAACATCTAGGAGGAACCCTGACCGTCTTGGAGATGTTCTCCCACAGATTTCCGGATCCCCGAGAGCAGATCATTTGTGAGCATTTGCAAGTTTTTCTTCGTATTCTTGGCCGTTCTCCTTCCATCTGGGAGGAAGTTCAAAGGTCCTGGCCCTTGGTCAAATCCAGGTTGGAGGCTTCGCCTCACCCTTGGAAAATCGTTGCCGGACCCATTTCGGCCATGATTCAGTATGCCAGGGATATGGGATGGGATGTCCAGTCCCCGGAAGTCTGGCATATTGATGGCCACCCCTGGCCCGTTGACTTCAGCCCCTTTCTTTTTCAGGAGCTGCGGCGCAAGATTCGGTCTACCATCAAGAGCGAAAGGTTGCGAGCCATCTCTGGCCAACATGGCGGCCAAGGAGCTCAGGAGGGTGTAGATTTCACAATTCATCGCCGCATTGCTTTAAAGAAGACCAAACGTCTGACCTTCTACAGGTCAATTTGGCAAGGTGCAGTTGTGCATGCGGGAAGTGGTGGCCACCCCAAGTGCCCGTACTGTAAGGATCGGGGCCTTGATTCAGAAAACACACTACAACATGTGCTGTGGGACTGCCCCAGATGGGCCAGACAGCCAAAGCTTCCCAGGCATCTTGAACAAATGCGTCAGTCCCATCCTGCGCCCTGCCTTTGGTTGCGAGCCCTTCCCCCTCTTGCCTATGTCTCCTCGCCACTTCAGAACGCTGAGGATAGGTATGCGGGCACCTGGCCGTCACAGCCCTGGGACTCGGATCTTGTCATTGGAACTGATGCCAGTGGCGGAAAATTTTCATCCGATCCCAGATTGCGGACCATTGGATGGGCTGTGATTCTAGCACGCAAAACGGGCCAAAGTATCACAGTTATTGCAACTGCGAGCGGGGTTTTGCCTCGGCCGGCCACGGTTCTAGATGGGGAGGTCCATGCCATTGTTAAGGCCCATGAGCTTTGCCCAGGCCTGACGGATCTTACTACGGATTCTCGGGTAGCTTGCAAGCAGGCTGCAGCTAGGGCGGTTACATCCAAGCATTCCATGTTTTGGAAACCCCAATGGCAGAACATATCCCCACAACATCTTCATTGGGTTAAGGCTCACTTGGATGTAGGAAAATTTGCTGAAAAGTTTGGAAAAGATGAGGTTTGGCGTTGGCATTTGAATCAGGAAGCTGACCAACTTGCTGGGTCCAGGGCTGACCAAGCTTTGCACCCTGATGCCAAAAAGCAAGTCAGGCAAGTTGACACGCTGGTTTCCACCCTTTCCCAGCTACTTAGCCAGAGGGCGGAGATTTTGATTACTACGCAGGACAAGAAGACTATTTTCTGCAAGCGCCAGCCAAAACCTCCAACCCTCAACAAAAGGCAACAGATTGAGCAACTCGTCAGCCAAACCGTCTCTCCGCTGGGACACCAGTGGGAAATTCGGAGTCAGCACCCTACGAACCTCACAGCCATGTGTGGGAAATGTGGCCTTTACCTGCAGCAAGTAGACCCTCCTTCACTGTTCCAGCAGGTCCTTGCCCAGCCGTGCTTGGGAAGGGAAGGTCGTCCCCCGGATCACCTGGCCTGTCACTCTTCCCATCAGCTTGTTTCCATAGGCAAAGCTTGGCAGTGTAAAGTGTGTGAAGGCATTTTGCCAGCGCGGGCAAAGAAAGTCCCGGGGCTCCTCCAGTCCCTGTGTGTGACCCGTAAACACACTAACAAACTGACTAAGTTCACCAAGAGTTTGTTAAGTGGTGTAGGGGTTCCGGAGTCACTACCTGCCTCCAAGAAGGCTAGCAAGCTTTCTAAGGAGACTCTCCCAAAAGCCCAAAACCTTAGCAACTTCTTTGCAACACCACTTAACAGGGTTGAGGCCACTCCCCTGCAAACTCTCACTCCCGATGACCCTCCCTTGCAGAACATGGTCAGGATTGAGCCTCCCTCTCCTGCTGTCCGCGATTACCGGGATCCTGGAAGCCCAGAGCTTGGAGACTTAAGGGCTGCTGGCTCCATTGTTCGCAAGGTGAAGTTCCAAAATCCATCCAACCATTGTTACACCAATTCTCTGGTGGTTGGCTTCTTTTGGGTTGACCTGCTCCTTGATGCCTCCAGCCCCTTTGCTGGATCCCCCATCCAGGGCATCCTGCGATGGTTGAAAGATCAGCGCAAAGTCGAGCTGTGGCAGTCCCTGGTTTGGAAGAGACTAGTTGCAGGCCAGGGTCGATGGGAATCCCCAAATAGCCAGCATGATGTTTGTCAACTTCTCATGCACCTTTCTTCGGGGCTTCCTCGTGACCTCTCTTGCGTTTCATGGCGAGCTCATGCTCCCAACGCACCTCACCACGAGGGCAACCTTTTCCCACTTCCTCTTCACCTCCCGGAGCACGAAGTCTCTATGAAGGAACTTCTGGCAAATTGGCAACAAGGTGGAGAAGTGAAAATTCTTACTCACCCGCCTTTGATTGCATTGCAGCTTTTGAGGTTTGTTAGGGAAGGGGGGGGTTTTCGGAGGCTCGAGAACCCAGTTGGTTTTGAGGATCCTTGTGTGCTTGAGGGATTGGATGGGGAACTTCTTCGTTACTACCCCAAGGCCGTGGTCTCGCATTTAGGCAACTCCCCGACCTCTGGACATTATCGAACTTTACTTCTCCCCTCCAAGCTCATTACTGATGATGGGGTAGGTGCTGTTTGCGCCAAGCCTGCAGATGTAGCCTGGTCTAAGTGCTACTCGTACCTGGTTTTGCTAACCCTCCATGTCTGAGCCTTCTCGCAGCTTTTGGCTCCAAGATGGGTAAAGGAAAAGGGAAGAATAAGCCAGGGAAGGGGCAAAATGCCCCTTTCGAGGACCCGGTAACGGAACAGAGGTACCAGGCCCTCTTGCAGCATCGTTTCAGTGAGGGCAAACCTGCTATTTCGAGATCAAGGTACTCCAGGCAAAGTCAGCACTCAGGTACCGACCGGGAACCTCCGGCTTCTGGTCCCAACTTGTCAAGGTCGGTTGAGGCCCCTATCACAAGGCCAAAAGCCGTACCCAAGCCGGGGGCAGCCCGAACCCCACCACCACCACCTCCAAAGCGGCAACGCACAGAGGCCCAGGCTGAGGAGGCCTCGCCAAGAGCCTCCGGTTCCAACCTGCAGGCTGAGGTGCCCTCGCCTTCCAATGCTGATGAACCAGGCCTAGCCTCCACAACTCAGGTTGAGCAGGTCTCACCTGAACCAACCTCTCCTTTGGGGCCTGAGCAGGATGAGGTGCTGACCTCTCCTAAACAGGAACCTGCCCAGAGTTCTCAGACTGAGGTTCCTCCACCGGCAACCAAGCCGGATACAGATGCTGGTGATCCAGGCCCGGCCGCCGCAACCCAGGTTGAGAAGGTCTCGCCTGAACCGGCCTCTCCCTCGGAGCATGAGCAGGAAGAGGTACTGACCTCTCCTAAGCAGGAGCCCAGAGCTCCCAGGTTGAGGTTACCTCACCGGCACCCAAGCCGGATACAGAAGGCAAGGCTTCCACACAGGTTGAGAAGATCTCACCTGAGCCAGCCTCTTCTTTGGTCCCTGAGCAGGTTGAGGAACCCTCACCTCATCCAGATCCTGTCCCCAGTGACCAGGTTGAGGCGAACTCACCGGCCACCACCAAGTTTTCGGAGGAGGCTCCATCCCCAGCGGAGTCCCTTCCAGGCCCAGATCCGGGAATCAAGGGCGAGGACCTCAGAAGGGAGCCAGGTTCGGAGGTTCCCTTGGAGCTTCTTTACAAGCAGCCCCTGAAGATCCCGAGATCCCTCCGAGGCGTGTCCCTCAACAAAAAGGGCTCGTCTGGCACGCCTTGGACTTTTTACAGTCCGGCGGAGCTGGAGGACGAGCATGGAGGGGTATGGGCCGTTTTAGGGGTAGGTGGCAGTCGTGTCACCTTGGAGCCCCCGGCTCAATGGGGACTTGGAGCCGATTTTCAGGTCCTCAAACTGGGGCTCGCCGAGGACATGGACCAGGAGCAGATTTTTCTGGAGGGACTCTCCAGAGATTTCACCTTTATCCCTCGACCGGGGACTTCTGGTGATGTTCTGCTCACCTTGTCAGAGAATGGCCATGGCAAGGGTTTTACCCTACGTGGCCGCGGGGTTTTCTACAGGCGGGTCATCCCTGTGGCTTCTCCGCAGGGAAAGCTTAGGACACTTGATGTCCCGGACCTCCTGGCTTTGCTAAGTGTGGTCGCGTTCTTGAGTGCCTGCCATATCCGCTTGTCGGATCTTGGGGAGCACAATGTAGGTTGGGCCCTCCCGACCTTGGCGCGCACACGCGCCGAGAACATGGCGCTTCAAAGTGTAAAGCTGCGCACGGCCGACTACGTGCAGGTTTGTTTGTACGACGGGGGCCGCTGGAGAGAAGCGCAGCACAAGCACTGGCCTGGAAAGGCGGCAACCAAGGGGCTTCTTGGCCTATGCGCCAAACATGAAATGTTTGGCCCATGGGTGGAAGAACAAATCCACCTTTATGGCTCCCCCGAGGTTTTGTGCAAGGTCTTCCTCCACCGCCTCCAGGACTTTCCGCACCACTTTGAGGGCTTAAAGGACTCGGGGTT